AAACACATTTCCCAGAAATAATCTCTATCACTGAACCATACGTTATTGAATATAATTCCTCTCCATTCTGGACTGAAAACCTTATGCTGAGAAATCTGCTAAATCTGCTCTTTTTCTTTCTGTTTTCAAAAACTTTTTCTTTTAACAATGTGGTTTCAAACTATCTCAGATTTTTCTCATTTGGTTTACCTTACTTAAAATTTATAGAGCTTCTTGGATGTGGATGAATATTTGCTTTTCCAGATTTAGAAAGTTTCTATGCTATTACTTCTTTGGAAAATCTTTTCACACATCTCTCTCTCTCTCTCTTCCCCCCCCCAACAAACACACACACACACCCCCTCTTCCTTCACTACCCCTTTTGTATGCAAAAATAAGACTATTTTTGCATAAGTCCTCAATGCATAATTTAGTTTTCAATGTGCTTCCTGACTCCTAAGTCTTTAACTCTATTTTATTTTTTTCATTGAAATTTTCCTTCTCTGTCTCTACTATTTCAAATGATCTTTCTTTGAGTTTACTGTTTCTTCTATTACTTGATCTAGTCTGGTCTAACATCCTCTGTTAAAATTTTTGGCTGACTTATTGTATTCTTCAGCATCAATAGTTTTGTTTAGTCATCTCCTAAATGTTTTATCTCTATTAAAATTCTCGCATTGTTCTTGCATGATGCCACTAGCTCATCGAACATGTTTCTAACATTTACTTAAAGTTTTCTGCCAGGTAAACCATATGCTTCCTTTTCACTGACGTTGGTTTCTGGACCTTTATGTTGTTCTTCTGTTTGGACCATGTTCCCCTCCTCCTTCATTTTCCTTGACTGTCTTTGTTGCTATCTGTTCATTATAACGAAAGCCACCATACTCTCTTCCAAGACAAGGCTCATAGAGATCACCCTCACCAGTCAGCCCAGAGAGTAATTTTGGGTCACTCAAAATTTCAAAGTATTCAAACTTCTGTCTGTTCTTAGTGACTCCCAGGATTTAGAAGATGACTGATTCTTCCTGGTAGGGGAAGTAGAAACTATTTACTCAGGCAGCCCCTTGAAAAGTTGGGCCCCTGGACAAAGTTTTATTATTGAGGTATGATTCATCAAAATAATGTTAGTTCAAGCTTCCCTCAACCAGTCATTAAATATTGAAATGTTATAATTTCTTATTTGGATCTGGGGTTTATTACTGGGATATTTAGCTAAAATCACAAACTAATTTAAATCTGCCTATTTGGCAAAATGATCTGCTGCCAAATTTCCATTTTCTGTGTTATCTCTTTTTGCATTTAAATCTAAGTCTGTATTAGACATGCATCCAGAACGTGGAAAAATGTCTTAAAGTTCTCCAATTTATTTAATTTAATGGAGTTTCCAGAAGATGTGAAAATCTCCTTTGTTTAACAAACACCTGACTATTGGTCAATAGTTTTATCTTTAATTTTTCTCTCTCCTCTCACATTATCTATAATAAGCAGTGAGAAATGAAGACACACCATCGACAGTTTGCTTAGACATCCCACCACCTAAAATTCTAACTGTCACTTACTAATTCTAACTTCATCCAATGTAACATAACTAAGATATAAATTCTATAACAAGGTACACATAGTTTCCAGTTCTAATACCACGTTTGTGACAGAAACAAAGCAGGTGTGCTCTCTGCGAGGTGGTCATCTGAGGTCTGAGACGAGGGGTCACACAGGTGTTTTTATGATATTTAAGGGATCGGGCAACAACAGTGGTAACAATTCTGATCATCACTGGCTCTTACCGGAAAGTTTACAGGTAACGTTACTGCTGTTATTTGATTTTAACACCTAGTTAGAATGAAGCTCAGAGGAAGAGGTCACATCCTAGGTCACACAGTGAGGAGGAATGGAGCTGTGCTCTGCTCTCCACATGACACACAAGATCCCAGGCACGGGCCCAGGTTCCACTGACACGTGGCATCTGGAGGGCAGTTCTCAGGGGATGGTCTTAGCGCACCTTCTTCCTGGGGTAGGCCGCTTCCTTCTCTCAGTTGTGCACTTGCTCCTTCTGCCAGCTCTGAAGTGACCACTTGCATTGCCATGAATCATTCATATTCTCTCCCTTATTATGGCAAAAAGTATATTTATTAAATTTTCAGTTCATTTTCTCTGAGGCACACTGCGTTAGCAGAAAGGAATAAATCACATTCCTTAACCTCCCACACAGCCAAAGATTCCTGAAATCAGAGCTGATGTGATGTACTCATAGGTGGATTTCTGCTCCACGGAGGTGGCCTTGGTCTTCAAGTTTCAGCAATTCTGGGAAGCCAAGGACACCTCCATCTCCTCCTCCCTGCTCTGCAGCTCACCTGAGAACAGCTTTCTTATTGGAATATCATCTGTTTAAGGAATAAAAGTCCCTGCTTTAGGATTTGGGGCCTGAGTGCACCTTCTGGATCCAGCCCAGGACTGGAGATACTTTCCAGAACACAACTTCACCTGAGACATGAGCAGTCACACTGTTTTACTTGCACAATTTCAGCTTCTTCAGAAGAAAATTAAAATTGCCGAGACTTTTTCATAACCATGGTGCCATGTCCTTTTTCTGTTTTCTTGCCTGTTCATTTATGTCAGACCAGGTGCCACATCTATGTAATCAGATTAGAATCCTGTTTCCAGTAACACATGAAGAGGACCTTTGGTTGTACTTTTGGTCTTTGCTCCAAAATGTAAAGATTACAAAAGTCATCACCTCATTCTTATGTCAAGAGGCGTCTGCACAATCTGATCTTCAGTATCTTTGGGAATTCATCAAAGGAATGAAATTCCAATCAAAAATTTCCCACTCCCAAAACGGGAGAGACAGGTATGTCCAGAATGGCAGTTGACACTTGCTTTACTGGAACAGAAGCTGCAGAAGAATATATATACACACACACATACACACACACACACACACAAACACACACATATGTGTACATATATACCTACATATATACATGCATACATATATATGTACATAAATACATACACACACACACACACACACACATATATATATATAAAACAAGCTGTTGAGGGCACTTACATGGTAAGAACTCTAGACGTCTGAAAGACAGATGTGGACTATGGTGAAGTGACAGTTCCAGAGGGCCGAACACTCCTCAGTCTTCTGGACTTTCCCTCCAGAAACCTCCAGATTAGGAAAAAAAAAAAACAATCCAAATATGTTTCCTATGGGTCAGAAGTGGGGAAGTTATAATTACTGAAAACTGTACCAAGAGCCTTCTCCAGAAGATCCTACAGGGAAGAACTTTTCCAGCACCTTGTCCTATGTGAAGAAAGACAAATCTGCCATTCTAGATCTCTCCCCCATTCTTCCATGATTGTATGAAGATGTAAGTAAATAGTGCATAGACAGGTAAGATGTAAGCAATTAGTCCAAGTAAGATGTAAGCAAATAGTCCAGGTAAGATGTAAGCAAATAATCCAGGTAAGATGTAAGCAAATAACCTAGGTAAGATGTAAACAAATAGTCCAGGTAAGATGTAAGTCCAGGTAAGATGTAAGCAAATAATCCAGGTAAGATGTAAGCAAATAACCTAGGTAAGATGTAAACAAATAGTCCAGGTAAGATGTAAGCAAATCCAGGTAAATAGTCCAGGTAAGATGTAAGATAATCCAGGTAAGATGTAAGAAAATAGTCCAGGGACACTGAAACCACAAAAGGCAGTAAAGATGAAAGTTGAGCTTTACCCCTGGAGACGCCTGGTCAAGGTCACAGCCACTGCAGAAACCTCACTGCAAGGCAAGGCTGGGCTGGAGGGGGCACTCAGGAGCCACCAAGCACAGGTTCCAACCCCAGAGCAGGTGTACAGAAGGATGGGGAGGAAGTTTCCTCTCAGGTGTCTTCCTTTGTCAACAACAACAAAAACTATGTGTTCAACAAGTTGCTGATGTGCCTCTAAATATCCTGTTACATCAGAACCATTCATATAATTTAAGGCAACGAAAACTATTTTTTAAAGTGGGTTTCCAGGACTACAAATATCTTAATAGTGATGATATAAAGGATAGGAATAGTTTTACTAATTGAATGGATACAGAATTGTGGGAGCCACTGTATTCCTATGAATGAAAAAGTCAGATTTCAGTGTTAGGTAATGTTACCAACATTGTGCATTTGACAGGGCAGTGATGGATCTGAGAGTGTGGCAGGTACACAGACACAGTGAGTCAGAAACCAATATGTAAAGATGAGGATCTATAGATATGAACTGAAAGTACACAAAAACTTCATGAAATTCTATTAAATGGGGTAGAAAATAAAACCCAGACTTATTCAAAACACGAATTCCTTGACAATTATTTTTGGAGTAGTGAATTCACAAAGAACTCCAAAGTTCTCTTCCATCTTTTGATTCCTATTGTCCGTGAGATGAGAAAATCAACTCTAATTATGAATCACAGGGCAAATCTGTAAATCAAGCGTGGTTCTATTGAAGATCCTGGTGGATCAACATGCCAGGCAGGTGCTGGAGACACTGTCTCAGGAGCGCCCAGCAGATCTCAGAGGGACCTGCTGGCCACTCACGTGGGACATCAGCACTCACTTTCTCAGAGTCACCAGTGAGCTGTGCCTGGTGCCTGACGGGACCAGGATGGGGTCACAGCACCTGGTCAGTGTCATGAAGGGTGATGGTTCCAGAAATCATCCATGTGGTCTCCATGCTAATCAAATGTGGGTTCACAGTGAGGAGCATGTCCTCTGGGTGCTTGCTTTTCAGTGAAAGGGTGTCTGGCGACAAAAAGTTTGTAAATGGAGCAGAGCATCCATTTCTTCAAGCAAGATTAGGGCTTGGACCATCAGCATCCCACTCGTGTAAGGCTGATGTGTCATTCATCTCCCGTTTCTTATCCTGGATCAGGTTTTGAGCTATGAAATGCTCTGTCTCCTGAATATACAAATAACCTGAGATCCATGGAGGTAAATATGGATATGTCTGGGCCCGGAGAGCATCACCCAGAAACCACATCCCTCCCCCAGAGAAGCCCCTGAGAGCACAGCTCCTCATTATGGACCGGACCTGGAGGATCCTCTTCTTGGTGGCAGCAGCCACAGGTAAGGGGTTACCAAGTCCCAGTGATGAGAAGGGGATTGAGTTCAGTCAAGTGGGCTCTCATCCATTCCTGTGTCCTCCCCACAGGTGTCCACTCCCAGGTGCAGCTGGTGCAGTCTGGGGCTGAGGTGGAGAAGCCTGGGTCCTCAGTGAAGGTCTCCTGGAAGGCTTCTAGATACACCTTTACCAGCTATGCTATGCGCTGAGTGAGACAGAACCTTGGACAAGGGCTTGAGTGGACGGGATTTTAGTTATCTGAGAGATGTTTCACATAACATTTATTCTGTGAACAAATTTCAGGGATAGTCGAATCAATCAAATTAAGAAATCTGATACAGAACTTCCTCTGAATCGATCTTTGTAAACATCAATTTCTGAATCAATGTTGTAAATATTTTGGAACACAAACATAAGTTCACATTTTAACTCTATTTTTATCTCTATTTTAAAAATGCCAAAAAATCTCATTTTGTGCATATGACAATTTGAATTCCTACCATCAATGCATGATATTTCTTGTTTTTCCACATTCATATTGTCATTTATCATCATGAGAATTGAGAGTTTTAACCACGCTAGTAGGGGAGTAATGGTTTCTAATTTGTATTTAAATGCACACGTTCTTAATAAAAAATTGATATTTAACACTTTTTATATAATTTTTGATGAGATGCCTCTCCTGATATTTGGTTCATTTTTAACTGCGTTGTTTTCTTTTGATTCGTTGTAAGTTTACTTATATATTGATTATAAAAGTCATTTAACAAATTAAAAGAATTGGCCAGGGTCAGTGGCTCACAGCTGTAGTCCCAGCACTTTGGGAGGCCGAGACGGGCAGATCACGAGGTCAGGAGATGGAAACCATCCTGGCTAACACCGTGAAACCCCATCTCTACTAAAAATAAAAAAAAAAAAAAAAAAAAAAAATTAAGCAGGTGTAGTGGCGGCGCCTGTAGTCCCAGCTACTCCGGAGGCTGAGGCAGGAGAATGGCGGGAACCCGCGAGACGGAGCTTACAGTGAACCGAGATCGCGCCGCTCACTCCAGCCTGGGCAACTGAGCGAGACTCCGTCTCCAAACAAACAAACAAAAAACAAAAACAAACAAAATAAATGAAAAGAATTGATTTAACAAATATGTGACTTGGAAATATTTTCTCCCACTCTGTAGTTGCCTTTTTCTTCCTTATCAGTGGATATTGCAGAAAAATTGTGTGTGTGTGTGTTTGCACAAATTTAGACCAAAAAAATAAAAAAACTTCCATTCATAGATCATGTATTTGGCATTATATGTGAATCTCACTATAAAATACACTATTGGTGATTTTTTTTCCATGTCTCTAATCTCAGGCCACAACCAACTCGTGTTTAGCCTTCACCTACTGATCGGAGGACTATCCTCCCGAGATATTTGGAAGACTTCTGTAAGGAGATGTGTTCTTCTTCCCATTGTTTCTTTATTTAATCATCTATTATTTATTTAATCATCTATTAATACGCTAGAGACTGAGAAAGAGTGATGGGCAGATTAACCCTGTGCATCCAGACCTAGGAATCCTTTGATCCTGCCCTCTCTGAAATGCAGACACAGAGGATAGATGAGCAATGCTGAAAAATACTCTGAAAAAGATCCATGCTACATTATTCACTTTATTGTTCAAATCGCCACAGCTTTATTAGGTGCTGGGCGCTGATTTAGTTTGGATCCTGCATCTTTACAGCCCACCTCATCCTTTTGTTTTTGAACACTTCCCTGTTTCCTGGATATTACAATAAATTCTAAGTTCATTTTCTATATTACCTTTTTCATACATGGAATTAGCCATTTTTATAAAGACTGTTTGTTTCTGATTTTAAAGAATAATATTAAAATAAAATATTGTGATACTGGGTATTTCTGTTTTTTAATGTGGTGTAAGTACTTCTAGGACCTCTCACCCAATTGCCCTAGTAAACGTGCATGTTTATATGAACCATGTTTATGGACACTTCAAAACTGTTTATGTATCTAATCTTCTGTAACTTGTTTACATTAAAAATGGGAAGACACTGGACTCTCCACCCAACTATGCTACCACATGGACCTTTCTAGTCTTCCTTCCTTGACTGTCCATAACCACCCACTGTAAAGTGAGGAACCCCATCCCACCACATGCCATTTTATTACTTAGCTGCACAATTTCAGGACACATGCAGAGCAGCATCAGAAATGTAATGTTGTACCCTTGTAGGAAACATGTTTATCTACTAGAATAGAGTGCTTATGTGTGGTTTGTTTACAACTAAAACTTACAGAATCTCCTCATTTCCAAAGTTACTTATGTCAGCAACTTCATTTTCTACTTCCTTCTGTGAAGTCATTTCAATTACACGGTATCTTTTCATTTGTTTGAAATTCTGTAAAAGCCAAAACTAGAGTCAAGTAAACAGGATATTCCAGGAATTTAGAGGGTGGGTGTAAAATAAGTAAAACAGGCTCTGTCTAAGAAGAGTAAGAATATTCTAGTGATATGCAATGATTGAGACATGACACAATTAATTTGTCTAAGCTTGTAATTTTGTGATGGAAAATATAAACCTAAATATATACAATTAAAATATATTTAGCAGTTCATTAACCCTTGGATTAAGTGCATACTTCATAAAATTATCCAATAACGTATTTGGGAGTGTGGGAATGTTATGAGATACATGCAACAAAGAATGAAGTAATTTTCCTGATTTGCATGTATGATGTTTCCATTCAATGAAGACCTTTAAATAAGACAAAATCAATTTTCTACGTGACCCAGGCTTTTTCTTCCTGACAAGCAAACAACCCAGAATATTCTTTTCTTTCCTTGGTTGAGAAGGGTTTTCCCCAAACTTCAGCTCAGTTCAGACATACACTGTCCCTGAATGGGCATGTACCCTCAGATGGGTACACACACCTGTCAACATGTGGGCTCTTCTGTCAGAAAAACACACCTTTCCTCATGTGGCTTCTTCCCTCAGACAAACACACATGTCCCCACATGGACTCTTTCCTCAGACTACCACATACGTCCTTACATTTACTCTTTCCTCAGAAAACAGACATTTCCTCATGCGGACTCTTGTCTCAAACAACCATGTCTCCATGAGAACTCTTCACTCAGATAAGTGCACACATTTCCACATTGAGTGTTTCCTGACACAAGCACGTATATTAAATCTTGAATAATTTTGTGGCAAAATGATCTCAAGATAATGATAATTATAAAACTCCTTCCTGACAAGGTGGAGATATGTTTTTTGTTTTTTGTTTTTTCATTTTAACTTTACTTTGCCTGATTGTCAGAAACAGTGGTTGGCAGCTCTAAATGTGCTGATTACAGACAGATGCCTGTTTTCTCTGGAAATGTATTTCTTCTGTTCTTACTGGTCTTATTTGTCGATAACGTTTGCTGCAATGAAGATACCTGGACAGTGTCCACATTAGAGACTGAGAAAGAGTGATGGGCAGATTAACCCTGTGCATCCAGACCCAGGAATCCTTTGACCCTGCCCTCTCTGAAATGGAGACACAGAGGATAGATGAGCAATGCTGAGCAGTGCACCCATGACCACAAAAAGAAAGACATGGAAATGTGTCCCTTCCCCTCCTTATGGAAGGCAGCTCATCCCCTGTTCCTTCAGGCCGTGGTGAGGAGCCACCCCATGTCTGTGCCCGTCCTCAGTGTCCTCACCATGGGGTCTGCACTGATCTGGGCTTCCCTTCTCATCACCCTCAGTATCAGGGCCCCTTGTGAATCAGGTCCAGTTGCGGCTGCTCCACATGGGGCTGTTCTCAGTCTGTTCCCTCTGTGTTTGCAGAAGACCTATGTGAAGTTCACTGGTGGAGTCTGAGGTGGAAAAATTGTACAGCCCAGCGGTTCACTGAGCCTCTCCTGCACAGACTCTGGATTCACCTTCACTGACGGCAGCATCAGCTTGGTCCAGCAGGCTCCAGGACCTGGCTGGTGTGGGTGGCAACAGGCAGAAATTCAAGAGGAAGTTCTTACGTGCACTCTTAGGTGCATGGTCTGACTGACATCTTTGCCTCTTTTATCATGTTTGTTCTGTAAATCACAACGAATGGTGCATTCTTCATCTATTATGCGTTTGTTAAGTCTTTTTTGGTGTCTTTTAAAAAACTGGTAATTTTATCCTATGTAATACCTGTTAAGTACTAAAAGTGTTTTTTGATGTCCACATTTTCTGAAATTTACACAGCTACTATAGTTTCTTTTGGTTCATATCCATGTTTTCCCATCTTTATCTTTTCTATTTGTGAATATGTAGGATAACTTTCTTGTACAAAGCTCACAGTTGGGTCTTGTTTTTTTTAAAGCAACTATAACAAATGCTATTTTTAAACTAATAATATTTTTTCTGTTATTTTTTCTTTAAATTAGCATTTTATAATGCTGTTTATTTCTCTATTAGCAGATTATATAATTCACTTCTTATAAATATGGTATTGTTTACCATAAGGTTTACAGTAAGAATTGTATATAGATTCTAATGTAAATACTGTGATGGCCTTGATCTGAAGTACAGAGATAATGGAACTGTGTACGTTGAATTTCTCCTTCCAACCGGTCTTTCTTACTGTCAGTTTGCACTTTTATATGCTATAAAATATAATACGTAATTTCGCATCACTTTATACACATACATGAAAGCAATTACAAAGATTACAACTACAATTCATCTTAATGTTCCATTTTTTTTACTATCTTAATTTCTTTGTATAGATCTATGTTTTTAGTGCATATCACATGGCTACTACCAGAGAAACTTTGTAAAATGTGTCCTGAAACATGAATGTGTTGACAAATTGTCTCAAGATCTTTTTTTAATGACATAATTTTACCTGCCTTTCACTTTTAATGAAGTTGTAATGCATGTAGAATTCCAGTTTGCATTTACCTTGTTACTTATTTTCTTGTATTTATTTTCTTCCTGGAGACAATCACATATTACATTCTGCTGGGCCTTCATTAACCACGTTTCTGCGAATGTAGTTAGGGTTGGATTTCAAGTATATGGTTGCACCAGCTATTGGAGTTGAAGTCAGCTTCTACTGTTCACAAAAACTTCAGATTCCTCTGGTGATACCTGCTTTTGTTTCCCTGTTTTGCTTTGGGTGTTCACATGTCATTCTTCCCAGAGAGAGCCTGTCTCTTTTAGCTGTGGCAGGTGCATCCTGCTGACACATTTACTTGGTAATTGTT